AAATACAGTAGGAATTTTGAGCAATTGCATCAAACCTGTAGATCAACTTAGGGAGTATTACCATTTTAATAATATTCTCTTTAATTCCATGAATACAGGATAATAATTTACTTAGATCTTTTTCAGTAAAATTTTATGCTTATCTTCACAGGGACTTACAGATTATTGTTAGTTGCATTTCTAAAATTCTCTAGTGTTTCTTTGCTATTATTAGCATATCCAGCATAAATTTTAATTGGCTGGTATATAGAAAAGTTGTTGATTTCATCAAGAATAGACAAATAGACCAAATGAATAGAATTAATATCGCCAAAATAGACCCACACATACATAGTTAAGAATCTGTAACAATTCAATGAGGAAAAAAAAATTTTTTTCTCCTAGTAAGTTGTGCTGAAACAGTTGGACAGCCATAAAAAATAAAATAAGCCATGGTATCTTTTCATGCCATACATGAAAATAATATGTGATTAATTGTAGACTTAAGCACCAAAGGGAGAACAATAAAGCTTTTTATTGTAGTAGTCAAATATTTTTGGGAAAAAAAAGAGGAAAGTACCAACAATTAAAATATTAGTAAGTTGAGCATTTAAATTAAGAGTTTGTGTTCATCAAAAGACCTTATTTTAAGAGAATAAAAAACACACTACAGGGCCTCCCCTGGTGGCGCAGGTGGTTGAGCACCGCGCTGTGAAGCTGTCCACAGCCTCTGCAGCGCCAGTTCGATCCCGGCCGACCAGCGAGGGTCCCACATGGTGCAGCAGACCTTTCCTGTCGCACCCGCTGCTCCCCTCAGCAGTGTATTTCATCACTCCGCCTGTTCTGTTCCTCACTCTGTCTCTGGTGAATCCTCTCACCCTCCTGCGCATCTGACCTGTACCCCTATTCTTGTGTAAATAAATAAACTTTAAAAAAAAAAGCACGCTACAAACAAATAGACATGATACCTATTTCTGAGAAAGGATTTGTATCTAGAATATGCAAAGAATGCAATAAATCAGTAGAAAAATGAACTAATGATGAAAAGAAATTTCAAAAAAGAATACATGAACAGGCAAGGAATGCAATAATCGTCAGAAAAATGAATATTAAAACCACAACAACATATTCTGCAGACCCAGTGAAAAGTATAAAAAACTGAATACCAGATGTTGGTGATAATATGGAACAACTGGAACTCTCAACACTGATGGTTGCAAGTGTAAAATAGTCAACTATTTTGGGAAATGTTTGATGCTTTCTAGTAAAGCCAGTATCTACTTCTACTTTATAACCCGGCAGTTCCACTTTTAGGATATATCCGAGAAAAGGAGTACAGATGCCCCATCACACACCAAAAAAGGTACATAGTATCATATTCACAATATCACAATAGGAGCCCCAAATGTTTAATAAATAGAGTAGATAAATATATTTTGGTAAACTGCAGTACAGAACTAATGTTACATGCTACATGGATGAATCTCACATGTTGAAGGAAAGAATTCAGATACAGAAGAATACATGTGGTAGATGATCCCATGTAGATCGAATTTCAAGAGCAAATAAAATGAGTCATCTTGATAACTGACAGTATGTAGTGGTTATCTCAGTATTTGGGGGAGAAAAGTAGATATTGATAGGAGGAACAAAGGAACATTTTGTGGTGCTAGAATGTACAGATTTGATTTTACTTGTGAGTACATAACCGTATACCATGGTGAAGATTCATTGATCTGTATACATGTTAGGCATTTGTACTTTATTATGTATACTTTAATATAAAAAGTAAATGCATAAACATAGAAATTGAGTAAAACAGATATCACATGCAGTCATTTTTTAACTCAGTAATTAGAGTTAGTATTGATACTCCCATAGCTCTTACTGCTCAGAAAATTCCTCAGGTCTTGGAAGCTTTGTGAGACATTTATCTTGGTCTTTTGAATGACCAAATATATAATTTCTCATCAGTCACAATATTGCCAGACCCAAGATGCCTTCAGTTTTTTAACAAGACCTCAAAGATCACAAGGGATGCACAGTAAAGAAAACCTATCAAAGGTTGTCTGTACCTTTTCCCAAAATGGATAATCATGTTGACTAACTTAAAAAGGAGCTATGAAATTAGTGGTTCTTACCCCCTTGCCTAGCAGGACATGGATGACTACCACTCCATTGTTACATGGTATGTTTGAGATGGTTGAAAAGTAAGAACCTCTGCTCTGGAGCATTCCTTAATTGCCCTTAAAATTCCTTTGCCTCTTTTGGGGAGAGGGATTATTAACCATTTGAGCATGTCTCAGTAAAATTTAATTGTACCAACACTGTAGTTAGTATAACTTCCTAAACTTTAAAGATTGATGGGAGGATGGAGTCACAAACCAATAAAAGACAACTTCTGAAATTCTGTTCTATAATTTACTTCATTTTGTGAGTAGAAATTTAAATTTTCTTCAGTCACTTTTTCCCCATGAATGATAATGTTGATATAATTCAATTTTATGACTTCCTGTTCACTGATCAATATGTTTGAGGAATTTCTCCTTTTAAAGGGGCAAAGCAAATTAATACAACTAAGTAGATTAATGCTCAGTGACACATGAGAAGCATTTTAAACTAGTCCCTCGATGAGGAAAAGTTGAGTGGAAAGAGTCAGAATTATCATGGACACAGAGTCATCAGGAAGCATCAGGGTCTGGTCTCCAGTAGTCTTCTTTGAAGAGTGTTATTTTTTTTCACTCTCTGCACACATCTTGTGGGACTGAAATAATTATAATGAGCAGTTCTCCAAATGTTAATTTACATCTGAGTACCTGTCTGGCTTAGACTTATCCTCAGAAAAGGAAAAAAGGGCATGGGCAGGATGACCTCCTCATCCATGCCCTTTACTTTCAACCAGTGCAGCTCTCTAGATGGGCCCATGTTTTATTGCTTGGTAAGGAGAAGAATTTGCTCCATCTCTGACACCAATTTAACACTACTTTCTTTTCTTTTTACTATGTCTTATACTTACCAGGATAAGCAAAGAATATTGCAGTACAGTTAGTGGAAAGAACTATAAGAAAGAAAATGTAAAATTGTTATGAGATAAAGGGAACAAAATGTCAAGGAAAATCTATGAACATAAGCTAGACAGCACTCATGGTAATCATAAAACAACAGAAATGTCTTTACTGTCTTTACTGATACTTAGGAACTTTCTGAAATGAGAACTGTAATATCTAACCTTATTTACAAATCACATGGAGGGTACAAACAGGATAAATACTTGAAGTAATATATATTTTAAGTTCTAAGTGAGAATAAGAGAATAGGGAAACAAGGCTAATTAATGAAAGAATGTGTAAGGTATAAGATTTATACCTTACACTTGGTCTATGGGTACACATAGTGACTATGAAGCGCAGTAAAGAAGTATGTGGCAACAAAAACCAACAAGTGGGACTGCTTGAACTAAAGAGCTTCTGCATGGCAAAAGAACCATCACAATGCAAAAGCAGCCTACTGAATGAGAAAATATTTTCATTTTCAGGTCTTGTATCTTGTACTGGATTATTCAAAACACATGAACTCATGAAAATCAATAACAAAAAAGCAAAGAGTATGATTAAAATATGTAGAGAGAATATTAGTTAATAGATATTTTTCCAAAGAAGACACATACATATATGGCCAATAGGTACATGAAACGATCTGAGAGTCCCTAATCGCCAGGAAATGCAAATAAGAACCACAATAAGCCATCACCTAATGTGTTAGAATGGCTATTATCAAAAGCATGAGACATAACAAGTGTTGGTAAGGATGTGAAGAAAAGGGAACTTTTGAGCATGGTTGGTGGAAATGTGAAGTGTGAAGGCCCTACAGTCATAGGGCCTCCCGGTGGCGCAGCGGGTTGAGCGCCGCGCTGTGAAGCTGTCTGCAGCCTCTGTAGCATGCGTTCGATCCTGGCCAGCGGGCAAGAATCCCACGTGGCGCAGCAGACCTCTCCTGTCTTGCCTGCTGCTCCTCTCAGCCGTGTATTTCATCAGTCTGCCTGTTCTGTTCCCCGCTCTGTCTCTGGTGAATCCTTTCACCTTCCCGCACATCTGGCCTGTACCCTGGTTCTTGTATAAATAAATACATCTTTAAAAAATAATAAAAATACAATCATAGTTTGGACCATAGTTTGGACATGCTTCCCTATTTTTATTACAGCAATTTTATAATAGTCAAGGTTTGGACACAACCTAAATGTCAATCGAGAGATAAGTGGATAAAGAAGATGTAGAAATGGAATATTCAGACACAGAAAAGAAAGAAGTCTTGCCATTTATGACAATATGAATGGACCTTGACAGCATTATACTAAATGTAACAAGTCAGAAAGGAAGACAAATTTCCACATATTTCCAAATATGTGGAAACCAAAAAAAAAAAAGCTTGTGGATACAGAGAATAGATTGATGGTTGGCAGAGGCAGAGTTGGGGAGGGGGTGGTGAGCAAAATGAGCGAAGGGGGTGAAAAGTACAAAGTTCCAGTTATAAAATAAGTCATGAGGATGTAATGTACAGTATGGTGACCATAGCCAGTAAGTCTGTATTAGAAGTTACTAAAAGAGGGAATCTTAGAAGATTTCATTATAATAAAAAAAAAAAATTGTACCTGTGTATAGGAATGGATGTTATGTAGACAAATTGTGGTAATTGTTTTATAGTTTACGCAAATAATGATTCATTATGTTGTACATCTGAAATGAATATATCTCAATTATGCCTCAGTTAAAAAAATCTTAAGGGTTAAACTCAGCATTATGTTCTGAGTAATTAAATTAAAAAATTATTTTTGATAACCAGTAGTTTTTGACGGAGAGCCAACTTGGAATTTAAGATCTTTCCATTACTAATCTCGCAGCTATCCAATATTCTTTTTTAACTTGTGTGTTAATTTGTGAAACATTTCCAGACTGTAAACATTTCAATAAAAACTGTTTCTGTTACACCAAATTACATTTCCTTTGTTTTTCTTTTTTCCCTAGGAAACTGACGGGACATTCTTTCCACATGGGATATAGCATGGCAATTTTGAATGGCATTGTAGCTGCTCTTACTATAGCATGGTGCCTCATGTAAACCCACACTGAAAAAATATTCTTGGCAGAATGTATCTATGATTGCTTTGTAAGGGGGAAGAACATCATTGTCTACTCAGAAGACTGGAAAATCATACTGTTCATTGTGATTCAGCTTTGTGTCACATTGTCATCATTATGGAGGACCTTTTTAAAGCATTGTTAGGCATTGGGAATATCTGAGTATTAACTTTCAAATAATTTCTTAAAAGTGTAAGATGTTTACCTCATCTTTTTACTTTTGTATACATTGTCCTTATATGTAGTAGAGAACATTTTAATGAAAAATTCAAAAACTTGAATACAATGCCTACTTTTGATGTATATACTACACTTTTGCTAAGATATACTGATACTACATTTAAGTGGAAATGGAAATACTTCTTATTTATTCATTATATTCAGAAAGAAAACAATGCCTACTACATTTTATAGGAGCTACTTTTAAATAAGAATATTTAGATTTTAATATTCATAGAATCAATAGAAGGTGTGTTTATATTTTTTAATGGGGCATAGTTCATTTTGTGTGTTACATATTTTCCTACTACATATCAAATTTGTATGTTTTTAAAATTGTTATATTTAGATAGGTGTAAATGTTATTTTTTATCTGGTGCAAACCTAATACCTACCATTTTTGTTAAGGTTTTTGTCTTTTTTTAAAAAAGCACATTCTCCTTAGTTTAAAATTAAGAAAACTTATTTTTAAGAAAAAAAATAACTGAAATAGTAAATTATTTAAGCCATTAAAATATTGAGGTTTGAAACTGTTCTTGTTTCTGTTTTCACAATTCCAAATATTTATCTTGGTGTGTTTATGGTTACTTCAACAAAATTGTTGTTACTTTCTTTTTAATAAAGACAAACATGAAGTTTTTATATTTAAAAATGCTTGAACTAGCCTTAGTGGCCAAAATAGAAAAAGTATTTTGATAATGTATATAGATATACATAATTTATTATATAGTTTCATGATTTTTCTGTTTCACTGTTCTAATTGTAATGTTACTTTTCCCCCCCACAGTACTAAAGCTTAGTTGTTCCCACTTCCTTTCTAAATACCTGCTTAGACAGTCACCTCAATTTTAGAAAGATTGTCTGTGTAGAATGCTGTTTTCCCAGGCTATTGAAAAAATTACATTAGGAAAACATTGTATAGCAAAACTGCTTATTCAGGCTAAATGGGAAATGAATATGTGCAGTATGTTCCTGTTATCTGCTGAGTGTTGTTACTGAGTAAATAATTTAATACGGTTTGTAAAACTCTTCACATTTTTTTCCAGTTCAAAAACCTTTCACAGGAAATGAAAAATGCTGCTTCATTTAAAATTATCTGCTGTGATAATTCATATATAATTCCAAGGCTTAGGTATTCTTCCCAGAATTGTTGAATATATTTTCACCCTGCATTCCTCCCCCTTTGGCTCTTCTCAAAAGAAGGTGCAAGTAACAAAATCAGTATTCTTTCCAGCCCTCCGAATCCCTTCTCCCTGAATTTGGGTAACTTGTTTCAGATTTTTTGTCTTATGACTAAGAACCATAATACGCTAGAATCTCTGTATATAGAACTTCTGTATATAACTATACAATATAGATACATATAGAAATGTATTTGTAAGATAGTCCTTCAGTACTATTACTCTCCTTTTCTGGGAAATTCCTCTTTCTGGTCTAACAAAGAATCCAAATACTAACCATCCTACTTCCTAGCAGTATAATTGGTTGAGGATAGGTACTTAACCAGAGCTGGGCTAATTCTAGTTTCTCATCTCACCTGGCTATAGTGTTTACAACAGGAATAGAAACATGACTCAAGTCAGGCCATTTCATAGAATTTTTTTTAATTTGAAATTGCTGTATTGAAGCTGGAAAGATGCAAGCCCAGGAGATGCTGGTATCCAGGGTGTGAACAGTGGGAAAGAATAAGGTCAGCATGGATACTGGTAATGACCTTTCTCCAGTCCCTGAAGCCCAGTAGTGACCTTGCAATTCTTGAAGTTTAGGTTATGCAACACAATAAATTCTCCCTTTGGCCTCTGCTTTTCGTATTGATTTTTATAATTTCAAAAAAAATGGAGTCAAGCTGAGTTTATCGGTAGCAGCTCTACTCCATCTCTGAGACTGACTCAGGTGATGTCATCTCTTTGCATATAGCTTAAAACATTCCATTCAGTTACTTGTGAAGGATACACAGGGAGTGTATAGTTTCAGTGATCTCAGAAGAGTTTTGGAATAAAACTAGTTATTAATATTTATTATTTGGTCAGAAACTTAGGTCAAAGTTAAATATTTGTTATTAAAAGTTATTAAAAGATTTAGTTATTTAAGTTATTAAAAGATTTAGTTATTAATAGATATAACTTCAGATATAATTAAATAGGATGAGTTTTAAATAGTGTATTAATAACAGTGCTTCTCAGTTTCCATACCTGTATACTTGGAATAACTTCACAAAAATACTTAAATTTAGCATCAATGAAAACAATACATGTCAGAATTTATAGGCTGTTAGGTAAAACACTGTAAAGGAAATTTGTAATTTCAAATACATTCATCACAACACTAAATCAAAAGTTAGGATGCTGATCAAAAGTTAGAATGCAAAGCAAAAGTGTTATAGGACAGGGAGAGGGGCAGCCCAAACCCCGCAAACCTGCCTATTCTACATGGGTTCTGCTATCCGCTGCATCAACACAAAACATATGAGACTTTAATGGGAAGGAACTTTAATAAAATTAGGAAACAATACAGGTAAGGCAAAGAGTTTAGTTTTTAAATGAAGCACCCAAAGTTACCCATCCCCTCGTGGATAAAAGTCCATCCATATGGGATCGGCCCAGAACAAGGCCCCAAAGCCTGCCACAAGTCTAAAGCATCTTCCAGTGGGGACCCACAGAAAAGGGTCAGAAAACAACCAGACAAGCCCGGAAGGAAAAGAGCAAAATCAACATCAAGATAAAAGCTGCCATTGTCACCTCCCCACGGGTATCACCCACATCTGTGTCACCCAGTCCACGACCAAAAGACAAGCTGTTTCTTCACGTGTCTCTAGGCTCCATGCGCCTCCTCCAGGTCTCCTGGCTCCATCCTGCTTCCTTCCTCAGTCTCTTCTGCAGCTTCTTCTCTTCCTGCTCAGATCCACCCTCCCTTGGGTGGGGCAGGGAACCTCCCCCTTTCCTGGGGAGCACCCTATTACAAAAGCAGCAGAACAAATCCCTAAGACAAGAAAGATTGGAAATAGTGTTGTAGAGCAACCCCGATACAAAACGGGGTGCCTGACTGTGGGTCCTCACCCGCGCGCTTAAAAGGACTTATCAATGCTCTACTGCAGGCACACGTGAAAGGTTAATAAAAGGTTTATTTACAAAGGGAAGGGGAAATGAGGAAATGTACAGCTCTGGGAGAAAAGTGGGAGACAAAGTTTTAAATGAGTCCTACCCGATCCGCTGATTAGGAATCCCAAAATGGCGCTCTGAGAGCTGGCCGCCAGCCAGGAGTGGTGAAGCCAGGAGGCGAGCGATCGCGAGCCAGAGAGCGAGCAAGGCCCACGTGTTTGGTTTTTATATCCAACCTGGCTGCCCAACTCCACCCTCAGGTCCCAGCCACCCTCCCTTGGTGGTGATGGGATTTGTCTTTCCCAGAGTCTTGATGGCTTTAGTCTGGAGTGGGGGTGGAGTCCACAAAGTTAATCCTGTATGGGATTAACTCAGGACATCACTTCCCCCTAACAATAGGAAGGGTAAGGATACACAGGAAAACAACATTAAAAGAATAGAGACACAACATCTGCCCTAGTCGACTTGGACTGCTTTAACAAATTGCCACAGACGGGGTGGCTTAACCAACAATTGTTTCTCACAGTTCTCATGGCTGCAAGTTCCAAGTTAGAATGGGAACATGGTCCATTCCCTTGAAGACCCTCTGATTTACAGTCATCCATCCTGTATCCTCACTTGGAGAAGGAGAGAATTAACTCTTAACAAGGGTACTAATTTCATCTTGGGGATGCCACCATTATGACCTATTTACCTCATAAAGACCCCACCTCTAAACATCATCTTACTGGCATAAGAGTTTTAATAATTGAATTGGGGTAGTTTCAAACATGAAACTCTTAACATTATTGTCTGTGTTAGGGGGGAATTTCCCCATTCCATCTGAGTTCTTTTAAGACTGGATGAATGAACAAATGACCATCAGCTTTGTAGGAAAAAAGCCTCAAATAACATACATGTGGAGAATGTACATGGTTGTAAATCCTGAAGAATAATTGGAGGGTACGGGGAATATTTATTCTACATTTAATGTAGAATGAGCATCAAAGGGGTGGGGGAAACTTTACCTGAAAATAAAGATGAGAGTCACACCAGAGGACATGTAGACTGATAACAACTGGATGAACACCCTCCAACTTCATTCTTACAGGTCATAAAAGGGCAGGGAGAGCAGAATTGTTTCTCTGATTAGGAAAAGAGCAGAAGCTTAGAACTGATAACTGATTAGGGAAGGACAAGCACCTCAGCCTCAAGGGATTTCATTGCTCTTCCAAAATACTCTGCATGCCAGAGTGGGGTATAGAGACCACTTCTGAGAATCTTGGGGTGGTCTGATTTGAGCACTTACAGTATCCAATAACAAAAATACATTCTGTTGGTTAAATTGAGGTTCTATAATTTGAACAACAAAAACCATCTGGCTAAGAAAAAGGGAATTTATTGGAAGGGTATCCAGTAGCTCTCAGAACTAGTGGGCAGGAACCAAACAAATTACCAGAAGGTCCAGGAGAAGGAAGCAAAGTGACTATTTGATAGTGGGAGCAGCCTGATTAGGATGAGATAATGAATCCTCCCTGTCATTTGTTCTTTTTCCTTGCAAGATCAGCTCAAGATTCATAGCCCTTCGAGAAAAGGTCCCATTGACCTGTATTAGGTCGTATGCCTACTCCTTCTGGCTTTTGTAGTTGTAGGCAGCATCTGGGAATCTTTTGGCATGGGTGAATGAATATCAAATAGCCAAAAAAGACATGTATTCACTGCAGTTCACTATTGGCTGTTAAGTTGCCACATACATACTCCTTTTATACTTCCCAAAGTACTCAAACCTACTAATGCAGCTGTCATTTACTTAATTGAGTGTCAGGGCCAGTGCCTTCATATTATGTCCATTCTTCTATATAGTTTTGCCATATTCTCTTACTGTAGTCTTGAAACTCTACTAAATAGTAATATAAATACTTATGAACATAAATGACAGAAAAGATGATAAATTTGTTTAAAGACAGGTGTGATAGTACAAGAAAGTACAAGTAGAAGTTGCTATCTTAAGCATCTGGTCTTAAGACCTTTGTTTGCATTTTTTTTCTTTGATGACTATATTGGCTAGGTTTTCTTCCCTGATAGAGTGACCAGAACTACCCATCCCAATATCAGTTTGTCATAAGGAATTCTAAAGAGGCTGTAGTTGTGGGGTGAATGAAAAGAGGCAGCATGATGGAAAAACAAACTGGGAATGTGATCATACAAATTACTCAAGCCTTTCGGGTTGAGTAACTCAGAACAATTCTGGATGATGGAATTTATTTTTTTATTGTATTTTTTATTTTATATATTTTTTACATTGTTCTTCATTTTTGTACAATGTATGCTTTTTCA